AAGCCACACGTGCGTGCGCCGACTACTGTTGATTCGTCGGGGGCTGCTGGAGGTGCCCCTGGCCCAAGGTGCCACCAGCTTTTCGCTCAATCTTGGAGCCCCTGGGGCCATCTGGGCCGCGTGAGGGGGTGCTCTGGAGGCCGCGGGGGGCTCCCTGGAAATCCTGGGGGCACCTCTGGCCAGGGCACTTCCGGCGATCGCCGAAATTCGGGCCGAGAGCACTGGCCGAAGCCAGAGAGCCGTGCGGTGCCCCCCCCCCCCCTCTCGGCAGACCGCCCACCTCCCCGCTCGCCGCCCCACGCCACGGGGTCGGAGGCACCGTTCCTGGGCCTAGGATCGGTGCACACGCCAGTCGCTGCTCCAGGCGCCTTCCTGCTTCGAGAGTCGAGCGGCTGTCCCTCTTGCCTTCGCTTCGGGGGGCGGGCAGAAGCGTAATTCCCCAAGCAGTGCTTGCACTGAAGGGGTCCTAGCAGAAATTGAAAGATTGGGCGAAAGGGTCCCGCCGAGTTTGGTGGCCGGCCGGGTTCCCGGGTTCCCGGTTCCGTGTTCCCGGGTTTTTGGTCGTTGGTTCCGGGCCGATTTCGGTGGGTTCCGCATTCCCGGGTCCCCGGGTTCCTGGTCGATCTCCTTACCGATTTTGTTTTATCGATCCCATTTCAAACCATAACCATTCACTGATTGGGGTCGTTCTCTGGTGTAATCTGCTTCCAACGCATTCCTACTCCATGGTTCTACCCACTTCACCCGACCGGCGTGTATACTCCGCGGCAACACTCGAGGTTGGAAGCTCAAGGTCTTCGGCCGATTTCGTCAGGCCTCGGCGGTTAGCCGGCCTCGGGGTGCCTTCCAGCGGCCGCGCCTCGCCCAGGGGTTGCTGGGGGGTGGAGGGTTCCTCCGAAGGGCTAAGGCGACCGGTCCTCCCCCTCCCCCTCCCCCTCCCCCTCCTCCTCCTCCTCCTCCCTCCTCCTCTCCTCCTCCTCCTCCTCCTCCTCGCCTCCTCCTCCTCCTCCTCCTCCTCCTCCTCCTCCTCCTCCTCCTCCTCCTCCTCCTCCTCCTCCTCCTCCCTCCTCCTCCTCTCCTCCTCCCTCCTCCTCCTCCTCCCTCCTCCTCCTCCTCCTCCTCCTCCTCCTCCTCCTCCTCCTCCTCCTCCTCCTCCTCCTCCTCTTCATCCGCCTCCTCCTGCTCCTCCTCCTTCCTCTCCTCCTCCTCTCCTCCTCCTCCTCCCTCCTCCTCCTCCTCCTCCTCCTCCTCCTCCTCCTCCTCCTCCTCCTCTCCTCCTCCTCCTCCTCCTCCTCCTCCTCTTCCTTATCCTCTTCCTTATCCTCCCCCTCCCTCCTCCTCCTCCTCTCCTCCTCCTCCTCCTCCTCCTCCCCTCCTCCTCCTCCTCCTCCTCCTCCCTCCTCCCTCCTCCTCCTCTCCTCCTCCTCCTCTTCCTCCTCCTCCTCCTCCTCCTCCTCCTCCTCCTCCTCCTCCTCTCCTCCTCCTCCTCCTCTTCCTCCTCCTCCTTCTCCTCCTCGGGTCGCCTACGGCCCTGGGGGACACCGTGCCTTTGGGGGGTGGGCCCGGATGGTCCCGAACGGCCGCCAGAGGATCGAGGTGTGGCCCGAAAGCCAGGGGCAACGCTACACCGCACTCACATCTATACCCCTGGGTGGGTGTATGTGCGGCCGTTTTTGCGCTGTCATGTGCGCGCATGTGCACGGCATGTGCCAGTCATGTGCCAGGCCTGTGCGGTCCTTCTTGGGTGGACTTCCTACTGTGCACGTCGTGCCCGGGCTGTGCGGGGGCATGTGCGGGGGCATGTGCCCGGGCATGTGCGGGGATGCCCTGAGTTGAGCTGTTCAGGCCACTTTTGCCTGAGACATCCTCGCAACTCTGACCTCAATGATGCCCTGCTCCATAGTGTCTCGGCCTTTTTCGCCTGAGACCCTCGCAACTCTGGGTTCTGAGATGCCCTGAGCAGGTGGTCAGGCCAGTCCTGCCTGAGACATCCTCGCAACTCTGGGCTCCGAGATGCCCTGGGCTGAGGTGGTCAGACCACTCTCCCCAGAGACATCCTCGCAACTCTGACCTCAGAGATCTCTTGCCCCATGGTGGTCAGGCCACTTTCGCTTGAGACATCCTCACAACTCAGACCTCGGAGGTGTCCTGCCCCATGGTCGTCTGGTCACCTTGACCAGCGACATCCTCGCCACTCTGGTTTCCAAGATGCCCTGCCCCATGGTGATCCGGCCACGCTTGCCTGAGACATCCTCGGAACTCTGGGTTGCGAAATGCCCCGAGCTCAGGTGGTCAGGCCACTATCGCCTGCGACATCTCTGCGGCATGTGCGGGCATGTGCGTCTATGCTTTCAGAGTTTTGCTTGACCGTGCATTCGACTGTGCGTCGGACGGTGTGGCATGTGCGCGCATGTGCGGCAATGCTGTTGAGGCTTTTGTATATTTGCATGGGCATGTGCATGCGACTGTGCGGCATGTGCCTGCATGTGCGGCCCCTTCCGGACCACAATTTCAAAGTGAGCACTATAGAAGTGAGCGCTATAGAAGTGAGTCCGGTGTAGGGGGGGGAGCAGGAGACTCAGAGGGGAATGCATCGGCCCCCAATCGCTTACTCATCGCCGAGGGTGGTCCGATAGCCCACCCCGCTCAGGAACGCGCGGATTCGCTATCGCCGATCTATGGGCAATGCATCGCAATCTCCAGCTAGATGTTTTCCCGCCTGCGCCGGCTCCCCCCAACGTTCCCCTTTATAATATTACATATAAATGAATAGGTAAACAAATGCCGCACCCCCGTGACATCTCCCCGTGACATCTCGGGAACGATCCCCGTACCGCTCCCCCGGGCGTCCCTGGGAGCCTCCACAGCTCTCCAGGAGGGCCCAAGACGATTCTCAGGAGCCCCCAGAATGCGAAAGGATGGTCCAAGACACTCCCAAACAGCTCAAGTCAGCCTTCCGACGGCTCTCGAGGCTCCCAGGTAACCTCCAAGAGACCCCAAGAGAGGTCCGAGAGGCGTCCCGGGACTGCGCGAAGAGGCCAAAATCGTCGATGGTCATTGTTTTTTCAATGTTTTTGGCTTTGGCGTTTTCGAGCTTCCAACGGTCCAAGAGCGCCGAAGAGGCTCCCAAGACCGCCCCAAGACCACCCAAGAGACCCTCAGGACGGCCCCAAGACGGGCCAAGAAGGCTCCAAGATTGCCGAAGCGGCCCCCAGGACAGCCCCAGACCACCCCAGAACAGGCCCAAGATTGGCCCAAGAGCGGGAGCAGGAGGCTTCCAGAGCTCCGAGAGGCCTCCGGGACCACCCAGATGCCCCCAACACACCCCCGATCCCCCGAGAGGCCCCAAAAGGACCCCGACGATGCTCCAAGAATAGCCCAAGGGAGCTGGGAGAGCCGTCCCGAGAGAGCCCAAAGAGGGACAAATCGTTGTTTTCCCCATGGCTTTTCTAATGTTTTTCGCCTTCTCAAGTTTTCCCGCTTCCAACCCTCGAAGATCGAGGATTTTGAAAAACAGAAAAAAGGAGGAGATTCCCATATGTTTTTTGTCCAAAGTGGGACTCCTACTCGGGGGTCCTACACATCCCCTGACATCTGGCTGGTACCGCGCCTCCTGGCTTCCCGGGGGGCCCCCGAGACGCCCAAGGACAGCCCAAGACGACCCCAAGGGACCCCCAGAACGTAAAGCACGGCCCAACACGCTCCCGCGCAGCTCGAGACCCTTCCGACGGCTCTCCAGGCTTCCAGGAGGCCTCCAGAACTCCCAGGGGGTCCGGAAGATCCACACCCCTGAGGGGCCCGGCGGGTAAAACCCGCGAAGCATGACCAAAAATCAGCGCCGAACAGCGTCGAGGAACTGGAGAAGCATGTAGATCACACAATTCCTGTGTTTTTTTCAAGTTTGGCCCCCTGTCGACTCTTGCGCAACAGACCACAATTCCGGAAGCCTTTGAGGGCCCCAAATCGTTGAATACCTAAAGGGAATTAATGATTTCTGCGTTTTCGCACTTCCACTTCTATACGATTCCGAGGCTTGCGCAGGGCCTCCAAGGGAGTCCCTGGATGCAAGACGCGACCAACATGATATCACATGAGCTAGCCTATCAAGCCTAGCTAGAACTTGAGCGCGCGCGCGCGCTGCGTGCTCGATGGTTCTAGTATATACATATAGGTGTATGTATGTATGTTTGTGTATGTATATATATATATATATATATCAGAATTATCTGTGTTTTTACAGGGTTTCTATGATGAGGGTGAGGAGGAGGAAGAGGAGGAGGAGGAGGTGGAGGAGGAGGAGGAGGAGGAAGAGGAGGAGGAGAAGGAGGAGGAACGGAGAACGAGGAGGAGACGGAGGAGGAAACGGAGGAGGAGAACACGATCAGTTGGTGCTTCGTTTGTTTTTGGGTGGTCTGGGGGTGCTGGGGGGGGGGTCGACCATATAGATGTTTGCCCAGGCTAGTCAGGATCCGTGTGTAGTTCACACCCTTCTATCTTCGCGCATAGAGAGAATGCCCATCTAGACAAGTCGACTGATGGAAGCTGCGCTTGTTCACCCGATAATGTCATTCGGGTGTACTGGTGCAGTCCCCAGTAGATTTCGCTAATATGCGTTTGGGCGTCAATTAGCTACCCTGCGGGGGTCCAGGGGTCACTCGGAATGTGGTGCCGTGCCCACGTAGGGAGTCTAAGGGGCGTTCAGGAAAAACAAAAAAATTGTCTGCCAATCCTCAAGTTCGGCAGCAAACCATGGGAGCCTTTCACATCCTCGCAATTCCTTCTTCAGAGTGGCCTAGCGTCGATTAGGCTCTGGTAAACGATGAAATAGCGCCAACTTAGCGTTGATGAGCGCCGACTTAGCGTCGAGTAGCGTCGACGAATGTCGATGAGAGTCGGTTCGCGAGAGCCAACCTGAGTGTTTGGGAGGCTTCCATGAGTTGCCACCAAACGTTTTGTCGAAGGGTGATCTGTCGATCCTCAACACTTGGCGCGCCTGGAAGGTACGTGGGTGACTTGGACGGGGTGCGGAGCACGTGGGCCGAGATGCGCTCGCAGGGCATCACCCCGACCTCGGTCACCACCGGCTGCATGGTGGAGGCGCTCGTCAGCAACGACGGCCCGGAGGCCGGCCACCGGCTGATCCGCGAGATGCTGGGCGAGGAGCCACTGTGAAGAGAAGGGGTCCTCCTCCTCCTCCTCCTCCTCCTCCTCCTCCTCCTCCTCCTCCTCCTCCTCCTCCCCCCCAGCCCCTCGTCCTGTTCTTCCTCAACTTTCGCTTCCTCCTCCGCTCCTCCGCGAGGAGGTTGGGAGGGGGTGCTGTGAATTTCCCACCTGACAGGTTGGGGCTGTTCGATTGGCAGTATAGAGCTCCCGACCCACACCGTGCATACCGGTAGGTCTGGTGTCATTTTTCAGGAGGAATATTCAAAAATGTTGACAACACGGTTTGGGTACCATCTTTCGATTAGGTGTAACTATTTTGGAGCATTTCTCAATTTTCCCGCCCAAAATTCCCCGGTAGGAGGACGCGCCCGACATAGGCATGCCGCGGCCGCCAGGTCCGAAGTGCGCCAGTCTCCCTGACGTTCACGCCAGCCTGGGAGGAACGGGATGCAGAGTGCACGGCCAGGTGAGGGCGCCTGCGGTGGGTTTTGATCGACACTCGCCACTTTTTGAACGCAGAGGCACCTCGCCTCGCGCCTTCGGACAGTGACGACTGCATATGTACCGCAGCCGCCAGGCCCCCAGCGTGCTGGTGAACTCAGCGCTCCCTGGGGACGCTGCCTCGAGTGCTCGGGGGGGGGGGGCCGCTCGGGGCACACCGATTCCCTGTTTCCGGAGAGCTCTTCCAGGGCACCAGGGCCGTCAAAAACTCGGGGGCGGCAAAGAGGGGGGTGCTGCCTAGGGGGGGGGGTGGATGTCATGGCGTGGGCCAGGATATTTCCCCAGATTTCGCGGCGCCCCTTCTTATTTTATCACGTCGCTGGCCCCCCCTTGGGCCGCGCACATGCCGCCGGCCATGATTTGCACCTCTCCTCTTGGACCCCCCCCTCTTGGCCGCTCCCGACAGGGCCGTCGAAAACTGCTCGGGACCGGGAGCTGGGGCCCCAGGGAAGCTCCTGGGGCCCAGGATCCGCTGGCCCGGAGGCTCTCTTTTCCCTTCATGGCAAGAGGATCGGGGGCGGCAAAGAGGGTGGTGATGACTAGGGGGGGGGGATATCAGGGCTGGGTCGGTGCTCGAGGGTCCCGGGAGCCCAAAAAACAGTGCCTGAAGTCGGCCGGCGTGATCGCGGCGCTAAGGTTCGGGAGTGGCGGGAGGACCCGTCCTCGAGAATGGGTCGAGGGGTGACCGGGGGCGGCAAAGAGGGGGGTGATGACTAGGGGGGGGGGTGGATCTCATGGCGGGGGCCATGATATTTCCCCAGATTTCGCGGCGCCTCTTCTCATTTCATGACGTCCCTGGTCCCCCCCGCTGGGCCGCGCACATGCCGCCGGTCATGATTTGCACCCCCCCCCTCTTGGACCCCCCCCTCTTGGCCGCTTCCGACAAGAGGAGGAGCTGCGCCCCCTCATCAACTCCGTGATCTACAACTCTGTGCTGAAAGGCTTCGTGCAGCATAAGATGTTCGACCGGGTCTGGGACGTGCAGGCGGAGATGCGGCGGGAGCGGGTGCAGCCGTCCATCGTCACCTACAACACCATTGTGGACGCTTGCGCGAAGAGCAACGGGATGTCACGTGTTCCGGCGCTGATGGAGGAGATGGCGAGCTCTGATATTCAGGCCGGCGCGGTCACATACAGCACCATGATGAAAGGCTACGTGCAAGAGAATCGCGTCGACAAGGCATTCGAGCTCATGGACGAGATGAAGACTAAGGGGTTCAAGCCGGACGACTACTCCTACAACGCACTCTTGGATGGTTGTGCACGCCAAGGTCTATTCGACAGCGGCATGCAGCTACTCGCCGACATGCAGGACAGCGGCATCAAGCCCAGCAGCTTCACGCTATCGGTGGTGGTGAAGCTGGCGAACCGCAGCAACCGCCTCGACAAGGCAGGGCCCATTTCGATGGGACCGATCCGATCTGCTATGGATGTCGGCCGATCCGACTCGATACCGATATTCTGACGATTCGATGCGGCACGACGCCTGCATGGGTGCTGTTGAGCATTCCGGTTCGGCCGATCCGCTTCGGTGCTGCCCCACAGCCGGGGGCGGCCCGACCCGACGCACGCCGCGTCCGATGCGACCCGCCGGTTTCATGCCGGCCCCTCCCGAAAGGCCTTCGAGATCTGCGACGACCTCTCACGCCGGTGCTCGGCCTCGTCAGATCAACCACGCGCAGAGGGGGGAGGGGGGAGGGCTTCTGAGGGCTTCTTAGAAGCACCCCTGCTTCTTAGAAGGCGCGGGCCTTCTCTATAGATGTAAGGCCGGCGCCTTCTAAGAAGCAGCCTCCTTCAAAGAAGCTCTCCCCACTCCCTCCACTCCGTTGTGCGCGCCGCCAGTCAGACCTGTCCCTACAGTCGGACCGAGGTCAGAGTGAGGGGGCCGAGCGGTCAGTCACTGTCCCCGGGTGCGTGGCTGAGGTGGGATTCCGCGGTGCTGATCTTGCTGTGGTTTGTTTGTGTGTTTGTTTGTTTGTTGCTGTTGTTGAGCTCTCACTATTGAAGAATAAATATAGTTGAACCCCCCTTCCGGTGACCATTGTATTTTTTAATTGAAGTGTTTCCTCCGGTGCTCGCACCCCGTCTTTTTATCAGGGGCAGTCACGGGGCTCAAACTGTGTTGTTAGCTCTGGTTTACAATAACAACGGCTCCTGCCGGGTACTTCCTCACAATGTATTCCCAACTCGCGCTCTCGCGCGGGACTTCCTTACAAGTTGTATACGAATCGCGCTCTCGCGTGGGGTTTCCTTGCAGTTTAGTCAGACGATGCGTCCTCGGCACCCAGGAATCACGCTCTCGCTTCAGCTTGACTCACGATTTGCTTGAGCATCGCGCTATCGCTCGAGCCGTTATGGGTCTGCCCACCCGATCTGTCCGTCTGGTTTTTCCACTTGTTTTCTGCTCCTTGCCCCCATCCTGCTACTTTCTCTCGTGCTCCATCTTTCTTCCTCCCCTTTACACCCGTCCTCTCTTTCCTTGCTTCAGGGTCTGCACTAAATGCACGTGGCAGGTAAGAAAGATGTACCCCAAGGGAGTACGATCGAAGACGACGAGGGCGGGTACCGAGGTTTTGGGATAGACGTATTGATTGGCCCGTGAGCAAAATCTGAGCGAACAGTCTTAATACGATTGTTGTTGTCGCTGCTACTGTTGTTGCTGTTGTTGCTGCTGCTGTTGTTGTTGTTGCTGTTGTTGTTGCTGCTGTTGTTGCTGTTGTTGTTGCTGCTGTTGCTGTTGTTGTTGCTGTTGCTGCGGTTGCTGTTTTTGCTGCTGCTGTTGCTGTTGTTGTTGCTGTTGCTGTTGCTGTTGTTGTTGGTGCTGTTGCTGTTGCTGTTGCTTTTGTTGTTGATGTTGTTGTTGCTGTTGCTGTTGCTGCTGCTGTTGTTGGTGGTGGTGGTGCTGTTGTTGTGATTATTGTTGGTGTTGTTGTTATTGTTGTGGCTGTTGCTGTTGGTGTTGTTGTTGGTGTTGTTGTTGTTGTTGTTGGTGTTGGTGTTGGTGTTGTTGGTGTTGAACTCTCACTCGTGAAGAATAATTTTTGTTGATCCCCCCCCACCGGTGCACATTGATTTTTGTTCGATTGAAGTGCCACCCCCGGGGCTCGCACCTTGTTTTTTCTAAAGGAAAGTCTTCCTGCTCAAACTGTGCCCCTGCCCCCCCGGGCTACGACAACAACGGCTCCCGCCTGAGACTTCCTCGATTTTTACTCAGGACCCCCGCTCCCGCCTGAGACTTCCGCGCAATTTACTCAGGAAAGGCACTCCCGTCTGAGACTTCCTCGCAATGTAATCAAGACCCCCGCTCCCGCCTGAGACTTCCGTGCAATTTACGTGGGAACGGCGCTCCCGCCTGAGACTTCTCCGAATTTTACTCAGGACCCCCGCTCCTGCTTGACATTTCAGCGCAATTGACTCAGGAACGGCGCTCCCGCCTGAGACTTCCTCGCAATTTAGTGAGGACCCCCGCTCCCGCCTGAGACTTCCGTTTGCTCAGCTGAGGCGCTCCCGCTTGAGACTTCCTCGCAACTTAGTCAGGGCCCCCGCTTCCGCCTGAGATTTCCTCACAATGTACTCAGGACTGCGCTCTCGCGTGCGACGTCCTCACAAATTATTCTGGAATTGCGTTTCGGCGCTCAGGAACCACGCACGCGCCAAGGACGCCTTCACAACGTGGTATCTTCCCTCTTCCTTCGTCCTTCCCCCTCCCCTTCCTCCCACTCTCCCTCGTTCTTCCCCTCCTCCTCTTGCAGGGCCCGCGCCAATTCCAATGGCGGGCAGAGAGATGTACGCCCCCGAAGGATTGTCCGCCCGTTCCGGTTTGCCTGTACGTCTAAGCCCGCCGGCCCCAGCAAAGAGAAATAATGCCCCCGAAAGGGGTGTGATCGAAGACGAAGAAGGCGGGCATCGAGGGTGTAGGGTATACGTGTTGAATGACTCGCGGGCAAGTAAGAGCGTACAGCCTTAAAATGGTTGTTGTTGTTGTTGGTGTTGGTGTTGGTGTTGGTGTTGGTGTTGTTGTTGTTGTTGTTGGTGTTGTTGTTGGTGTTGGTGTTGGTGTTGTTGTTGTTGTTGGTGTTGGTGTTGTTGTTGTTGTTGTTGTTGTTGGTGTTGGTGTTGTTGTTGTTGCTGTTGTTGTTGTTGTTGTTGCTGCTGTTGTTGTTGTTGTTGTTGTTGTTGTTGTTGTTGTTGTTGTTGTTGTTGTTGTTGTTGTTGTTTGGCGTCGTCCCCCCCGCGACCGGGCCCGCGACCCACCCGCGACCTACGCCGCGACCCGCCCGCGAACCACCCGCGACCCACCCGCGACCAACCCGCGACCGAGCCCGCGAACCACCCGCGAGCCAACCGCCACCCACCCCGCCCCAGGAAGGGACGCGGGGCGCCGGCGCCGTCTCGCCGGGCCCCCGCTGCAGGGAGAGCCTCTTGGCCCCCAGTGGGGGGCGGGGGTCAGGAGGGAAAAAAACACACAGGCACAATGAATCGTCGATTCCCCAGAAAATAGGGGAAAATATGGGAAGTGGGGTGGAAGACAAAAACCAAGAAGATATGGGAAAATATGGGGAATCTGTTTATTTGTGTGTATTTATTTGTGTGTCCTGGGGCCCCTTCAGGGGGGTGGGGCCTCGCGGATGCCCAGGTTCGGCGTGCGGCTCAACGTCCACGTGTACAACAACCTGATGCAGGCCTGCACGGCCCACCGCGACGTCGGGCGGGCCCTGGAGGTGCTGGCGAGGGCGGTGGGCGAGAGGGTGCGCCCGGACGCCCGCAC